TCTCTGGAGCAGAGGAAAGCACACGGCTGAGTTAGAGGCCTCTTGGGATGCTGCCCCCATAAAGAGCTCTGACCCCTCCACGAGGGGCTGTCAATCGATTTYCCAGCTTTAATCATGAAGAAAATTGCCTGAAACTCGCCCTGCGCTGTTTGCTGCTGTGACTCATCCCACGCTTGTTGCTGGCTGTCCAAATGTTTTCCCCAAACCATCTGGAGTGGAAGTCTCTGGCTATCACACTCCTCATTAGTGGAGGCCCCTCCCTGGGCTGGCTGTGATGATCAGAGCAGCTCCAAATTCAGTCGAAGCTTTCTCCCCCTCCTTGGCTTGCCAGGTTGAAATGGTGCCCGGTGGGATTCCTTTGGCTCGGGCACTGGGGGTTTCTCTGTGTGTGGGGGGTTTTCTGTGTATGGGCTTTCTGAGCATGGCTGGTCTGCTGTGGGAGCAAAGGGATCCCTGGGCAGAGTGCCCACATATGTGGCCATCCCTCTCTGTCCCCAAAGGGACACTCAGGACTGTGAGCTTGATCCCAGCTKTAATGTGATCCCCTTGGGCAGGGGAAGGAACCTGGTGTGAGAAACCCAYTGTGAGTGTGGGCAAAACCATCCCAGAGAGATCTGTCCCAGCTCTGCTCGCAAAATGTGCCRGGTTTAACTCCTCAGGAGCTCCCAGTGTCTGCCTTGGGGACTGCTGGGYGTGTCACTGCCATGGCACAGTCCGTGGGCACAGGACAGGGTGCCCTTTGGTGTCCCCGCTGTGTCAGGACACTGTGACCTGGCCCTGTCTGCAGTGCTGGAGTTCAGGAATCACCTGGAGAGCATTTCCTGAGCCAGAAAGGAGGATCAGGCACATCCCACCTGGTTGTGATTACCTGGAATCCCAGAGGAAATGGCATGGGAAGAGACTGTGGGATGGTGAGCTCAGCCTCCTGCTCAGAGCACACCTGGTGGATCAGGCTGCTCACAGCCCTGTCCAAGGGCTGTCCTGGGCCAAGGATGGAGATCCCACACCCTCTCTGACCCCAGTCTGAACAACCCTTCATCCTCCCAGTGTCTCCTCATCCATCCCCTGCMCCAGCACTGTCCCCACGCACTGCTCAGGGCTGGGCAGGGTGCCCATGCCCCATGGCAGATGGCAGGAGCCTCCATGACCCCGTCCTTGTCCCCATCCTCAGCTGCCTGTCACACAGGATTCCCTGCTATCCCACAGGTGGCTCTGGTGCAGAGCTGGAACTCCATATCCMCTTGTCCAGGTGCTGCCTCCCGGGGTTTCATTTTTTTGTTTTCCACGAGTTTTCTCCTGGCACTGCCCTTCCTCTGCCTCTGCCCTGAATTCAGCAACTCCAGGGATACAAAGTCCCATCAGAGGTCCTTGTTCAGCACTGGCTGCTTTGGTAAGCAGTTCCCTGGAACTCCTGAGGGCTGCAGGGTGCCCAGACCTGCCCATGGCACCCAGAGGCACAGCCAAGGGCTGGCACCCTCCAGCTRAGCCCTGCAGCCCTGGCTGGGCTTGGCTGGGCTGGGCTGTGCCCTTCCCGCTGTCCCCATGTCCCRGGACACTCCTGACCTSRGAAGTGCCCAGCAGAAAGGTGACTGGAGCAGTGTGAGGGCAGGGGATGCCAGCCACCCTGATGGGAGCCATCCCAGAGCTGAGCCAGGAGCTCTCCTGCTCCTGTGGGTAGTGCCCGTGGGCTGGAACTGCATCCCAGCCTCCTGCTGCAGGTGGGGAAAGCAGCTCAGCCCTGCCACCTCCTCCCACTCCTGCCACCTCCTTCCAATAATCCCTGCACTGCCACCTCCTCCCCACCCATCCCTGCCACCTCTTCCCACCCCAGCCCTGCACTGTCACCTCCTCCCAGCCCTGCCCTGCCACCTCCTTCCAACCCA